CCTGCTGTTCATTTGTGCATGGTCTCATCTACTGGTAAAAACTATGAACTCAGAAAATTACAGCTCACAGACTCCGTATCACATCTCATAGAGTGACCACAAGTCATCTGTTGCCCTTGGGAAAGAGCAGATGGGCCAGCAAGAAGGTGACAGCGAAACTGTCGATCCACAGAAGACCCCCAGAGCCAGTTAGCAGCCAGGGCATAGTCTTTGAAGAGCAGTAACTCGGGGATGGACCTTCTGCGTCTGTGATGCACAGCCTGCAGAAGACAGCACGCTGCCACTCATGGGCTGTCCACCCTTCCAGCATCTGCAAGGGCTTGTCAGCCTTGTGGATCCTGCGTGTGGGACCTTCTGGGAGGCAGGACACAAGCAGTAGGACAGCATTGCTATGGCTAATGCTGCGGAGGCTGTGTCCTACTGAATTTTGTCCCTTTGCTCTAGAAACAGGTAATAGATACAGTGTGGGAACTACAGCAGGGCCTGTCACATCCTCAGACAGTGCACAGATCACCATGTGTGGGAGGTGAACAGCCATCAGCGCCATTCAAATTAAATGTCCAAAAGTACTTTTTCACTGAGGACAAGGACAGTTATATTCCAGCACGACAGATTTCTGGCCCTGGCAACATTATCTTACAATGCAGGGCTCCAGCTCCTTTTCAACAAAGTTGACAGTCTGTAATTTCAACTGGGTATTACTTTTGTTCCACTAAGTAACGTCCTTTAGCAGTGACTTGAAGCAGTCCTCCTTTGACATGTGAAACAATATCCACTTCACATGGAAATCCCATGTAGCAAACCCGTGTGCTTTTTGGTTGCTTGAAAAGGCGGGTGTTTGAGCAAGCCCACTTTGAAACTCCTGCCTGCCTTCCAGCTGCTCTGTTGAGGCCTCTTCTCCTGCCTTTCCAAAGGAGGACCAGAGGGTAAGGCGCAGTTTCGGAGCAGGCTCCTGCAGCACTGTAGCTCCCTGCTCCCCTCCGGCCCAGGCCAGGCAGACCAAGCCCTGCCAGGGAGGGCTGCGCTCGGCTACCCCTTCCAAACACTCGCAGTAAGAGATGAGAACCCTGAAAATACCAGGAGTAAGCGCCCTTGGCCATAAGTAAGCAATATAGCAGCGCATTCAGCCTTAGGAAGAAAAAAATAGAGGGCAGAAAAAAGAGGAGGGAGAAGAGGGGAAGAAGGGGTAAAGGGGGAGAGGAAGGAAACCGCGGGTGTCCCTGCGGGCGGGG